CCAGAGAGTTAAGTAGAAAGATAGTTACCCAGCCCGGTTTCCCAGAAGAGCCTTCCTCAAGATGATGCTTTCCAGATATGTTGAGTTGTTTTGTAGTTCCAGGTATGGCATAATCCAGAAAGTGGAGAAGATTATTCTGGAAGATTCTTCTTCTTAAAAGATGTTCTACCTGAATTCAATATTTTGTCAACAAGCCAATTCAAAGAACATCCAATTCTGGAATCATTACTTAATTCCTCAGACTCCAGCTAAGCAGAGTGCAAACAAACTCATCCTAACTCAATATTTATTTTGTAACACAGTAAAGAAGTCATTCCTGTTCAATGCTGTAAGTTATGAGTGATTTTGATTTTTTTTAACTCTGCAGTCTAAAAAGGTAAACAAAAGTTATTGTTTGCTTCATATTTTTTCTTTTTTTAAATAACAATTTTTTCTTTTTTAAAATAACATGCTTTGCTTATAAAATATCCTAAATGTTAAATTCACTTCCTGATCCAGCATCTCATAGCAAAGAAGAAGAGAATAGGAAGATTACTCATAATAATATACTCTAGCACAATTGTGTATTTTTTTGAAAATAAATGTTTTGTTATTTTCAGCCAGTTATTTTGGTCTCCACTGCACTAATCATAAACACAACGAGAACAAATTCATTTAAGTTTCTTATGTATTGAATTTTTTGGAAAGAAAAGTTTATCAAATTGTATAAATTTAGTGTCGATAACTGAAAATGTAACATTTTGTGGTAAAGCTCTTGAAGTGCCTTCCTGTTATGCCTTGGTATGCTATGTTTACTTTCTGTTTCTTAACAGTCTGATGAGAAGGGGGAATTGAAATTTCTTTATACACTGCTGGATAACTTGTTTTGCAAAACAAGGAATCCTATAGCCCAATGGGATGCAAGAATTATAAAAGTATTTATTATGACATCTTGGCTTGCTTTGTTTTTAGTTTCAACCTATTATCCTTTGACTAAAATTTAGATTACTTCAGTAGGATTCAATTTATCATAGAATAACTTCTTTTATTTTATTGTTAAAGAAACCATTAACTTAGTTTCCAGTGAGCAATAGGCAGCGAGAACATGAAGTCTGTATTTCTGAATTGGTCATTTGTCATTGATAACTTGCTCCAAAACAATCTTGATCTTCATTCTTTACAGGACAACCATTAATGATATTAAAGTAATATTTTTATTTATGTATCTATTTTGAGGAAGGTGTAGGTTTTCAAAGGTATTTTCAAGGTTATACTGTATTGTTTTATTTTGTTGCTTGGTAGTAGGATTGTTTTGTAAGCAACCTGATGCATTGGCTTGGGGGATACTGCAGCTGCTCCATTCAAGATTCCCTGTAGACATTTGAACAAAGTGGGGATTGTTGAAGATAGAAAGTAAACAAGAAAATAGGGTATATTTGATCATCTTCTAACCTGTTTGAACACACCAGTTGTTTTTGAGGATTGATTCCCAGACATGCACTTAAATTTGATTTGGGGGTTCCATCTGCTCCATGTAATCAGTTGTTTTTTTTCAAACATGGTCTCAACATTAATAAGTTGACTGTTTTCCATCAAGTATATATCTATATTGATTATATATACTTTCAGATGTATGATGATGTCATCTGGTCCCTATGGTATAAAAGTTAGTAATACTATATTCCCTGTATCTTTAAATTCAGTCTAATGTAATGAGTTGATTGTCCCTTCCACCTGTTTCCTTCAGTGTTTACATGGATACCCTAACCTGAACCCTTGCAAGCTGGTGTGGTGTTCTACATAATATGAAAAAAAATGTGTTGCAATTTAATGTGTTTTACGCTGGCCCATGAAAAAAATCATGCCTATAATTGAACTTGAATAAACATTTGCCATCCTGATCAGAATTAAAGAGCAAGTTTTGGTTATATAATGAAACCTTCAAATTATGGGCCTTATCAGCGACAATTTGCCAAAAATCCCTATATAAGTAACTTATCAGCATCAGCTCCACTAATACGTATTGTCATAAACAAAGCAAAGAGGAGCTGGAATAAACCAGTGTATTGTCTTAATTTTCAGTGGTGATTGAACATCATTTTGTCCCAAGCCTAAAATAACTAATAAATAAAAGTCATGTTAGGCGTCCATTTGGTCAATATCTTCTCTTCCATAGTGGCTTATTGTCAGGTTTCCAAGTGATGAAATCCATTTAAAAAGAAAAGAGCAAAGTCTGTCTTCCAAAACAATTTCTTTTAGTTAGGAAAGCATCAAATTGGCAAAGTCTGTTGTAATTCTGGATCTGACACAACCCGGAATTACACCACGTAATATTGGAAATTAGAAAAAGCTCCCAAAAGTCACATCAATGTTGCCTGGTATTATCAATCTCCACCTCCAGGTCTCAGCAGGGTCAGTTTCTGTTCCCACAGGAAGGAAAATCACCTAGCCTAAACAACCCTCACTATCTTCACTCCTCCGACCTTAGGAATGTGGCAAGCCCAAAACCCTCCCTCTGTAGCCAGCAAAGAGAAAGAAAGAAAAGGAATATATAATAGGGCTAAATAAAATGGCTACACATATGTCAATTTTGGGCTTGACAGGCTGCCCCCCGCATTTGAAAAGAAACTCCTGCAATGATATAGAATACACAAAGATTGAAATTAGGTGAAACACAATAATACAATACACAATTTAACCTCCTCTGCCACCCACAGGATTCACTTTGGGCTTGTGTGGATATTTTTCATGGAATTTTTCCACAAGTTAATCACCATTAATTTTCCAGCTATTTACCCAAGTTGCTTGTGAAATAGGATAGCCTTTCCAATAAATCAGATATTGTAACTTTCCCCTGAAAATCCTAGATTTTCTTAATCTCATAATGTTCATGCCCAGCAGTGAGCAAAGGCTTTGGAGCTGCACATTCTGTTGGCCTTAGTGAGGAAGTAATAAATGGCTTTAACAAGCTACTATGAAAAACTGGGTGTACTTTTCCCAGTAACCTAGGGAGATTAAGCTTAAATACCCAAAGTGTCTTGCTGGCTTTGAGTCATGACTTTTCTGAAGTGCATGAAGACGTAAAGTTTTGGGGACATATAGTTTAGACTCCTTCCATGCTACACCCTCCCGTACAATTAATAGGTCCTTATTTTTTTGTTACCAAGTATCTGCTGTTAATTCATTTTGCAACTTCTTGGTCAATTCTGATTTGTCTTTGATTTTTTGGGTTTGGGCTTATGCCCGCATGATTACTTGAACTGTCTCTTGAGGGTATGGTGGAATAATTGGTGAAATACTTCTCGCTTACTGTCAAATTGGGGTTTCCTAGACAGCGCATTGGCTAGTAGATTCCCCCCCCCCCCCCCGGGGAGGTACTCCAATTGGAATTTGGAGTTGTTTTGTTCCCACAAGCTTTCCAAATACAGCCCTTGTTGAGTTTCATTAGATCTTATCTATTACCAATTTAGTGCTCACCATTAGTTGACTTTGTATATAGGCATGAGCAGTAAATCAGCTTAACTGGAACTTAATGTGTGGCCCTGATTCTTTGTGCTTGACAAAATTTGATGGATATGATTTTGGTTTAGCATATTCAGTGACCCAACGATAGCAGCTTACATCTTTATTAATGGCTTATAGGAATTAGACAGTGATGATTTTATTCTATAGACTGATTAAACATTCTATGTCTTAGAATTATGAACTGTACAGAACATTATCTGAGCAATATGCAGTTTGTAGTCATGGTTTCAAGTCTGTAATTTTGCTATATTTAATTGGGTCTTTATTCATCTTTTAAAATTGGGGAACAGATGTGGGTGTAAAATAACAAAATTAAGACAAGCTAAAAGACAAAATACACAATTATTTCAACTTGCAAAATTACAGGTAAAACATTGATATGGGTTTAAAAAAAACCTCTAGAAACCAAAGGCATGAACATGTGGTCAAGTTTACTTACCAGCAGGGCTCTTGGTTGGAGTTGAAAGTGTAGATAAACTACAATTGCAGAGTCGTTACTAAGCTGGAATATACTGTGAATTACAGAATTAGTTTCTGTCACAATGGCACAAGGTGTAACTATGGAACTTAAGCATGTGAAATGTGAAATTTGCTATAGGTGGAACTTTGCATTCATATCAGTAGTATAGGAATTGAATTTGATCTTATTTGTATTCATTGAATTGACTGGAGGAGATGACAGATATAAGGATGACCCTAGAAAGAAGCAAATATCTTCAATGCCACTTATAAAACTACTGGCATGTGGAGGCAACTGTGACACTGTGGATATTGGGTCATCTGAATAACATGCAGAGTGTTTATGTCAACTTCCTGTTCTGTGGGTAAAAAATACAGTAATGTAAGAATTGTACTGAATATTTTGTCCTTTTGAGTATTACAGAATCCTCTGTAAGTGTCAAAAAATCACTTTGTTACCAAGACCTAGATGTGATCCTGCAAGATTTGCATTAAAATGAATGGGTAGTGAGTAGTTAGTTTTTGTAATTATTTATTTGATGGGAGCTATGGCTACGTATACCTCAACTTTTGTGCTTTTCCGAAGATTGTTGAAAATTACTACATTGACAGTTCTTTGTTACTGACATATGACAGTGGTGACTGTCAGTTTCATCCTAGCACTAGTCACTGGGATTTTTCATTAACTATGACATTCATAGTATTGTAAATTGGATTGCCTTTTGTTTTTACAATAAATCTATAACTATAACTTTACTGGATATCAAAGTAAAAAAGTATTGGACTGGACTTTGGATAAATTCATTCATGCCATTTCCACTGCTGTTAGTAGGATTGAAATTACCTTATATATCTTTTCTACTTTAATTTTAATATTTGAAGATCTTTAACATTTTGGTTCTGTTTTTTGAAGGAGAGAAGAAGAAGGGGAGCAAAACAGTTTAATTGAACTTTTCAGTAGAAATATGTTACTGTTATGCTTTTCTTGTCTCAGAAAAAGAATTATTCCATTAACATGAAGGTTTTCTTTGTTTCAGCATTCCATTGTCCATTTTTCAGAGGGATTTTTGCTTGTGAATATGCTTGAGAGGAAAGGGGGCGAATCCCTTGCAAGATATCCCCAGCCATGAATGAATAATTTCCAGAAGGAAAACTGGTAAGTCAATAATATAATGACAGAAATGTGAAAAACTTGGCAAACATTGAAAAATGTAAAAAAAAAAATTCGTATCCCCCCCCCCCCAAGAATATTTTTGGATGTGCAATATATGTGTTTAATTTATTCTTTTAAGAACTTTTCAAAAGGTTTTTTTTAATGAAATATTTTTGCATGATAATAGATATAAGACTAATATATTGCTATGTTTTTTCCTTCATATATTTTTTAATCATTCATATGAGGCAAAATGCTATGTTTCCTGGGCAAGTGCTAATGTGTAAAGTATAGAGAACAATCACAATTTGTGCAAATCTTTACTTTCAAAATCACGAGGGCAAAAATTAAATACCACCCTAAGAAGAAACAAAACTGTGAGTAGTGGAAGTTCACAAAATAGATTGAATACACATTTCCTAAATACAAAACATGTATACAGTGATCTGTTTTCTGATTGTTCCTATCTCTTTTATTAATGTGCATAGATGGAGAAGTTTAACTTTCATCATCACATTGATAATTTCATTTCTTTTAAAGCTTTATTTTGCCAACTGGTCAAATGTGACAAAATTAAGAGACTCTAGAATTTTGGAGTTTTGTTTTTGTGTTTTTGTAGCTTATACTTCCATTGGAAACACTAATTAAATATTGTAAAATAAGTTCAGGTATTAAATACAATGAAAATGAATAGTGTATATAATTTGAATTTTATCAATATTTTGCTACTATCCTAAAATGCGTGCTTTCATCCATGGCTTCAAAAATTCTAAATACTTTATCTTTCTAATAAAGTGTGTAGTTCTATGGTTGTAAAATTCAGTTTTAAAGAGCACATAGTCATGCTTTTAAGTAAAATTCCAAAATGGTTTTCTCTACTTCAGCAATTTACATACATGCATACATAACCTTTGTGCTTTTCCATTTTAGGATAAGCAGCCTTGAATAAAGAGCAGAAAGAAAACAATAAGCCAAATAAATTAGAGATGAGATAAGTAAAGAAATGAAGAGATAGCGAAATATGGTTTACACCAATGCACTACACACATATTGCCTTTTGTTTTTTCAACTTCTGATTTCTCTTTTTGAGGATCAAATTCCTTTCAAACACAAAATTCTTGATATTCACCTTCTAGAACACCTACTCTTCTTTTCGTTGCATATTTGCTTTGCAATAAAGCTCATTCATTTTCTCTATAATGTTAAATCACATCAACATATTTTTCAACCTGATCATACTTTTATATTCAATTCACATTCATTCAGTATTCATTGATGCTTACTTTTTCTATTTATTTTTATCTAAGAGTTGATAACTGAATCAAAAGAATGTATTGCTGCCCCAATGTGGTTAGAGGGGGAGGATAGAAATACACAGACACATTGGCAACCTATGTTAGCCTATATCAATACACATATTGTCCCAGAGTGTCCTTGTTGCAAACAGGTTTCAGTGTGCGTGTGCATATATCTATGCAGTAGTTCTCTCTCTCTCCCTCTCTCTCTCTCTCTCTCTTTCTCTCTCTCTCTCTCTCTCTCCCTCTCCCTCTCCCTCTCCCTCTCCCTCTCCCACACACACACACACACACACACACACACACACACACACACACACACACCAGATATTTTGGGTTGCTAATAAGGTCCAAAGTGTACTGTGCAGCTCCTTTATATTAGACAAAGTCTATATTTGTTGAAATACCAGAATACTAAGCAATAAGCTGTGTTACAAGATACATTATAGGTTGAATAAGTAAAAGAAATACTGTAAGCACTTAGAAGACTGCTACAATTATGATAAATATCTATAATGTACAGAAACATGTGAGATCTTGGTATGCTTTTGATTATTGTTCAGTAAATCCACCACACCCTCCTCTATGGGATTTAGATCAGATTTTCAAACTTTTCAAGCTGTGGAACCTGTTAGTTAAAAAAATTATCCCTGACCAAGAGGCAAGTTGACTGTGCTTGTCAAGTTTTTGTTTGTTTTTGCCCCTAGGTGTATCATGAAACTCCATTTGGTTTTTCATGCAAAACACAGTTTGAAAAATCCCTAATTTGCATCTATTCCCTCTACTCTGATAGAATTCTCTGCCCAATAGATTGCTTGAGCTACAGCACACTGCCCTGCTTTTTGCTTTTACTTTGAAAAGTTTTTTTAAAATGTTTGTAGATTTTATCTGAACCTGCTGAGGTCCCCTTTTGTACATGGCATAATAAGAAGAGGCACTTGAGAAAATTTAATATATATAAATAGAATCTATTAAGAATAATGTCACATCAGATCTGAAATTTCTTATATTGTATGATGAAAGAGAAACAGAATAGAGTGTGGACAGACAGCTAGAAAATGGAATGAATACAACGTTCCACGGAACAACAGATATATTAATTCAAACAAATAGAAGTATCTGTGTAAGAAGATTTCATTGCTTTAAGGTGGGAATATTAATGAATAGGAGTATAACATTTTCTACAAAATGTTTAGAATTTTGAAAAATGAATGTGTTATTTTAATTTGAAAAGTAAATAAATAATTTCTATGTTTTATATCCTGTTACGTTCTATTCTAAATAAAAGTTTCAAATTTCTTTGAGGGTAGCTTAATACATACACTTTTTTTACTCCTGTAACCTTCCTTTTGTATAGTTATGAATAAGATTATAGTTTTAATGTTTCCAAATGATGGGAATCTGGACATTCCTATTTCAATCATAGAATTCTTACAGTTAAAATCCAACGTCATTTATTCTCTGTCCTTGGCCTTTATTAATTGCCAGTGTAAGAGCCAGCTTTTTACTAATTTAGCCAGGACCTGCTTTCCTGTAACTTAAATTCATAATTACATGTGCTTCAGATCATGACAGAAAATAACTTGTGGTTTTTGTCTACATAACCTTATTTTTGGTTACTTGAGGAGGAATGTCATATCCCTATTCTCCTCCCAGTCCTTTCTTCTAAAGGTTAAACATATGCATTTCATTCAGACACTGCTCTGAATGACTTAATTTTCTGTTCTAGTCACTCCTCTTACCCTTCTTAACACCTGGTCCAGTTGGTCTGAATTTTTCTTAAGATGCAATGCTGGTAACTGGATGTAGAACTCAAGGTCAGGTCTAATAAGTACTGATAGAATTTCTGTTCTGATTAATTGTTTATGTCTTTAAAGTACTTGTAATCTATTTGGATGGGCAATCTATTTTGAGGTAAAGGAATTTAATCAATTTCATCTGTAATTATTTTCACTCTTACCTAGCTTCCAAAAGCAGTCTGAACACTTCTGTGCTAAGAAGTGAACCTAAGGTACCTAACTTCCAAATGCAAAGTCTGAACACTTCTGTGCTTCTGTGCTTCTGATATTGTAGCATATTGATAAAGCACCCAAGTAAACTTAGTTTTTTCCCCCCTTTTTCTTCAATATGAAACTTTCTTTTAGGAGGAAGGATGCAACTTTAACAATTTAATATATTCAGTGTAATATGTTTTATAAGCCCAGTATTCTTGATCCCAGCTATTTTGCTTTTCCTCCTAACACAATGAACAAAATATTGGGGGGGAAATATGGATCTTGGCTGCCATCATAAAGAACAGCTATATTTCATAAACAGTGATGTATGTTGGCAGCTGCCTATCACACTCTATAACATCCTGTATAGCACACGAAGACAATGTCAACTTACATTTTATATCTGAAACAATTTCAAAGCATTTATTTGCTTCCTCTTGAGTCCTTAACCTAATTCAAGTAACATAATTGGGTGAATATTATTCCATATACCTAATTGGCTAGTTGCCAGAATGGAAACCATTGTCGTATTTGATGATGATCAGAAATTAACATGACATTTGCGTGGTGTTAATGGAATATATTAATAGTGTAATTCTTCACTGTAAGAAACAAGTCACCCTTCCTTTCCCCTCCCCCCACAACCTGAGATCAGTAAGATAGACTGCAAAAATGATGAAATGTTCCTATCAGGTTGTTCCCAGCAATGGCTAGTCAGTCTCTATTTTAAGTTGTGTTTTAACTTCTTCAGAAAAAAGCTGTAATTTTTATCAGTTGATTACGACAAATGTCATTTAAAAACCTGCCAATAAAAAAGTGCAATAAATTGCAATAATATTTAATTTAATAAAAAGGATGTAACATCATTTTAACAAATTCTGCTGAAGATGACAGATTATTTTGAGAAGTTTTTGAAAAGGTTTCAGTTAGCAATTGAGTCTTGGATTGGCCAGGTCTTTACCTGATCACTATACTAAAATTCCAAAGACACTTGATTGCTATAATACCATACAAACTGCAGTTCAGGAAGGGATATTCCAGAAAATCTCAGATAATGAATGCCTTTGTTACTGTAAGTCGTAAATAACTCAAGGAGCTACTGTTACAGTTCTACAGAGGGATTATTGAGTTTGTCATCTGCACCTCTATAACTGTCTGGTTTGATTCTGCAACCCAAGACAGACACAGACTTCACAGAGTAATTAGGACGTTAGATAAATCTGGATTCTTATGGCAGGGTGTATGAATGTAACTTCATGGATATAGTAATTATAAATATCATTTCCAATACAAAGATGTTCTTCAGGGTTCAGAAGCCTCAAACATTCTATATTTTTGTACTAAATACAAAAAACAGTTGACTTCATAAATTATTGGGGGGGGGGGATCTGTGCCCATTAATTATTTCCTCTTACCCATTATATTCTCTACCTCATTTATCTCCCAGAGTAACCAATTATTTCACATTTGTTTTGTAATGCTTCTAATGGAATTCTGTTATAAACTTGCATAGACCAAAAAAAAAAAAAAGACTACATGTCAGGTTCAGCCAGTCCATAGGGAATTTTGCTTGTCTGGGTGTCCTTATATATTTTTAAAAATAATTTTATTAAAACTTTTGGAGAAAATATACAAACAAACATAAATAGATATCAGATAAAAAAGAGTGAAGTGTGTCAAGATTTTAAAAAACTTAAGGAGGAATTATAGCTTT